ACTAATAAAATTCACTCTATATTCCTTAAAAGTACTGTTTTACAATTTAATATTTTGAATATAATGTTCCTCATCAAATTGGCTTAACACAGCCAATCACATTAACTAAGCTATAAAATTTTTATTGCAGAACATCAGCCTTAGGCAAATTTGTATATATTTTATGATCAAATCCTGACTGATCCTTTACCACTGTTTTAATCTCAGTTGCACCAAAATTATTAAAAAAAATTTTTCATTTTATAAATTTGTTTACTTTGAAGTCATCTACACTTATTAAAAATGTATACACTTCAGTTAAATGGTTTTAATTCCTATCCTGTCCCTTCAAAACAGAAGCCTTGAACAGAGGAATTTTGTAACTGAACTTATATTGAAAGAAATGTTTATTACAGTAAACAAATAAATATTAAGCTTTTTTTTTTTTTTGGTAAATTTTGATACCCTTTAGATCATAATTGCTCTTTATTTCATAAATTACAGTTTCATCTTTTTAATTTTATAATTTCTGCATGCCATCTTACCAGATTTAAATTGATGATCTATAATCCGGAAAAAAACCTAATCCCGAATCGCCGAAGTCCCGACGAGTCCGGATTAAAGACTTTGCACTGTATAAGTTTGATGTACAAGTTCATTCGCTGGGTGCTGCATGATCTGACTCAAGCAGATAAAGATAGACATGTTCGGGCCTGCACTAATCTGCTTGAATACCAACGTAAGGACAAAATTCTGGACCGGATCATCACTTGTGATGAAAAGTGTATTTACTTCAACAACGCAGGCCGAAAAGGGGATTGGCCTACTCCCAGTGAGCCCGTCGGCAGCATTGCAAAGCACAATTTGACTAACAAAAAGATCACGCTTTGTATCTGGTGGGATTGCCTTGGTATTACCTATAAAGAGTAGCACGGCTTCTAGCAGATATCCCTTTCGAAGTGCTTGCATTTTCTCAAAATTAAATAATGTTTATTGTTTACTGAACATCTTTTCTGTAATGATGTTTGAAAGCTTCTATAATACCTTAAAATTAAAGTTTCAATGTTAGAATTTGCAGTTTAAGTCTTTTCACTTGGCATTTCGATATGTTACAAATTAAGCACACAAAAAATTTAAAAAGTGACATTTTCAGTGATTTTCTCAAATTTCATAATTTACATTTCTAGTCAGCAGAAAGATTGCCTTTTCTTCTGTTTAGTCAATCTGCTACTTCACGATTACAAGCATTACCAATGTTTTCATTGCTTCTTTGATACTTGCATATCAATGCAACCACCTTAGTAGAAATCACCAAATTTTTAGAATGTGCCAATCTCTGGCAACAGTTTGTATAACCATTCTTCAGACAACCATGCTCATAACAATCCTTCAGTCGAACAAATGCCATCATTTACGCATGCGTTCTTTTTTGTTGTATTCCATGTTCCAACAGTTTTTATAAACAAATCATGATATTCTTTGCCTAATTTTCAAATATCAGCTTGATAAATTTGCTGGCTATAGGAGAAACTGCGCAAAATTTCTGCAGGAATAGAGAATTTTGCTGAAAATTTTCTAAAGGGAACAATGAGGAAATGAGTTTCCTAGATGCTGTTGTCAATTCTCCACAATTCTTGGATGTTTTTTCAAGTGAAAACGGATCGCTGTGTACTTTGGGAGAAAAATAACGCAAAAAAATTACAGAAAGATTCAAAGAATATAAATGTTTTTCACTGTTCAAGTCCTGTAATTGCTGTGTCGAGAATACCGACTAACTTGTCAATCGAAATTTTTTCACTTTCAATAACGTTCTCTGTTACTTCCTTCACTATCAGAAGCGTGCATGGGTAAAAATGCTTTACTGGCTTTACGTGCATGCGTAAGTTTGTGGCTTTGAGGTCTGGATTATAGATCATTCCAGATAATGGACGTCTGGATTAGACTTTGTACTGTGTATATATATATATATATATAAAAGGGTGCAAAATCCCCAAACAATTTTGTACCTGATAAATAGCTTATCATTTTTCTTCAGTCTATAGTTCCAATTCCTTTCCATTCAAAGATTCTGAATGTATGGCATTGTTTAGAAACAGTTCATGATTTTCTGAGAACATAATGCCTTTGTCCCAAAGACACAATTTTGAATATGGAAAATATAGAATACAGAAGTTGCACTTCCACCTCCTATCAGCTGGTATTCGAGAAGGAACCTTCACTCATTTACAGTGTTTTTACAAGATTGTTTTTGTTAAACTTAAGATATAGAAATTCTACCCCTATGAAGTCCAGTGGACAAAAAAACATTTTAAAAGTGTTTCACAAGTACAGGAGTTGAAGGGGAGGAAAAATTTCACTCAAACCCATTGAAAAACTGCATATCTGAACAATAAAGTCATAGTCTGCAATTTATTAAATGAATGAACTACAAAAAGCTTTGATAGGTACAAGTAGAATATTCTGGTACTGAAGAATCAGTCAAATTTAATAGTCAGCATTTTTCTATCGATTAATATGTATTTGTTTTGGTTCTTTGATATTTAAATGTAGTAAATGGCCGAGTTTGTTACATAGTAAATGAGTGAGCAATGGTTACTGTGCTGCAAAGTATTCATTTTTCAATATGACAAGATGACAGGCTACATAGTCATCAGTGAAATAGTTACGCTTTATGATTATTTTCACAATTCATGCTGAATGACAGAGTTAATTTTTCTTGAAGACATGTTGACAGATCCATCATGTATCATTTCTATTTTCATGCTTTAAGAAATAAATACATGAAATTTAAAATTTAAAGTAATATTCATATTTTAATATGATTATTAAAATGAAAATTTTTTGGTACTATTCTGTTATCGGAACTGGATGTATGAACGTATGTGCCCCATGTGTGCATATATGTGTATATGTATATGTTATGGTGAAACACCGAAACTTGGAGAATGTCGACTTTCACCGGTAAATGTCAACATTCACATAGTCGCTTGGTGTATGTCTGAAATATTTTCCAAATACGCTTATTTCTGACTTAAACGGTAAATGTCAATATTCACCATGTACTAATGGTGAATGTTGAACATATAAGAATATTATATTTTCTTCTCCGTAATTCAGTCGCGAAAAAAATGCGCTTGAGGGTTAAAATAAGAACATAAAACACACAGGGTAAAATCCTAGTATACGGTGCAGCCTTGGCGCAATTTTGAAAATTATCGCCAACACCAAAAATGATCCAAAAAAACGTCTATATACTATACACTATGTGTGTAAATACATGGTAAAAGTTTACAATTGGGTGCCCCTTGTTTTTTGGAGATTCTTTTTTGACGGCAAGATCGGCGTCAGGAAGACACAATTTGAAGATGGCCGCTACACAAAACCAAAATAAAAAATCAAAGAATTGCATAAACTGTGTGTCCATGTACACATCGATCTGTTTTCATTTAAAAAAAAGCATCCCAGAATTGCACAAACTAGGCATTGCGCACTGTTTAAATTTGTCCATGTACACATCAATCTATTTTTATTTTAAAAAAATCAGGATGCTAAAGCAAAGTTACACTATCATGGTAACCAGAAATACGATTTCATCGCCAAAATTCTACAAAAAATTGTCGCTAATCGAAGGGGCACCCAATTCTACACTAGAGCCAAATACATAATATATACTATATATAACTATATACATTCTTTGAATGACCCGTTTACTACTCATCGTTTATGTCCCGTTTTTACTGCTCATCATAAAGTCGCCAAAAGCAGCCAAATCCCGTGTGCACCGGATACTAGGATTAAACCACACACAGTACATTCAAAATGGGAAAGGAAAATAATAGAAGTTAAAAACTTACTAAATTATGTGATTCAAATCTTATTTATTACAACAACTATTATGACACTTTGAATTGCAGAAGAGGCCCTTGCTTTTACAAATGCATTTATTTGTGGAACACTTCTTTTTGCAATGACAGCATGTGTATATATACTACTCTCTTTTCGACCTACACCAGAGCATATCTGTGACTGTTGACATACACCGGTGAGGGTCCGAATGTACAAGAATGTAATGCAATATTCGATTTCTCACCGACATATTTGGTGATGAGCAGTAAAACCGGGACATTCTCCGGTGAAAGTCAACATTCTCCAATTTCGGTCTTTAACGGTAACATATACACACACATACATTCGCGCTTACATATATGCATGCATATAATGATTACATACATCCATACATACATTTCTGAATCCAGTCCTGGTAACAGAACAATATCAATTTTTTCCCTTTCCGAGACTGGAAGTAGAGTGTAAGAGCTACAAAGATTGCAAAAGTTGGCAAAAACCTCGCACTGACCTTATCTCTGTTCAGTATGATAGTAATGACAGCATATATTTTGCTCTTGATTAATTAACATGTGCCTACCTAAAATAGAACTTATATGTAGCTTATATATTTGCTAATTTTCATATAATTATTTATTAGCTGATACATTGCTTTTTAAAAATGTTGGCATAAGCTTTCAATCGTAAAGCTGTTACTGAACACACTCGAATACAAAATTTTTGTAAATTATCCCATGAGAGCTCTACAAATTGCACTCCCCCCCTCAAAAAGTTGTTGCTTTAACTGTAGCACAAAGACTAGCTGAAACTGATATTAAAGTGTCTCATCTAGTATAGCTATTCAAACTTGTAAAATTGCAACAACAGACATGGTACAATGATTTAAAAATTTTACATAAACATCTTATACTAATATGCATAATAATAAGCCACCTGTACATAATATTATACATAAACAAAATGTGTATGCTTTAACTTCTGAATTAGCATTCCAACGAATATAAAAGATAATACGAAGAGACTACATTTGCTTCTAGTGAATGGTAGTAAATTATAATACAACTGTCAAAATTTATCTCATACAATGGTTTTCACTTAAGAAGCAAAAAATATATGCTATGTATGGTGATTGAAAGGACAGCGTGATTTTGATATAGGAACTACAATTTACGCACCTTTCTTTTGCATCCTTATGGGAGCTTTGCAGCGTGGGAAGCATATTAGAGGGATCTTCCTTACAATTTTCTTCCGAGTTGTTACTACTGAGTTCCAATTTTTCACACCATGACGTCACGTAGAAATTATGTGCCATGTACCATTTTTGTATTTTTTTAAAATTTATACTATTTTATTGACTGTAAATTGTAATTTTAATCATTATTTTTGTGTTTTATATTGGATTTTTCATTGTTTTCTTTTTGATATGTTTATAATGTTTTTCGACTTATGATAAATATCAATAGTTTGACGCAGGGCTTAATTTCTAAGATTAGAAGTACCGGAGCTCTATGGAAGACCATCAGAAAAGAAGAACAAGAGTAAATAAATAAAATGACTATTAAACTCATCAATAATTTAAAAATTAAATAGTTAATTATTATCAAATTAATCAATAGCAATTTAATTAATGTTTATAAATTGTTATTGAATTAAATTATAATTAATTAGTTATTATATAATTAATTAATTATAATTTAATTGATAATTATTAAATAATTAATTATTATTAGTTAAAATACTTAAAGACTGAAGTAATTAAATAAAATGTAAAGAGATAAATTGAAATTTAATAAGCGATTTTTAATATAATTTTATTGTTAAAATAAAATTTTTGAGATAAAATTTTTACTGAAATTGTTATTCAGTTGCATAAAAGAAGTGCCGCAGCCTTCTTATTCAGGGCTCCGGTGCGTTTCGGCTAGGATTATGATTATGATTTATATTTGCCAGTTATTAATGTATGGAATACTAATGTTCATAAAGACATAATAAAATTTCTGAGATTCCTAAATAACGTAACATTGTGTATAATTCCTAAATGTTACGTTTTTTAGGAATCTCAGAAATAGTGATATGAAAGCTATGTATAATGTTCATTTGCAGCAAAAATTTATTTTTCTTTTCCCATTGATACATTCATTTCTTTTGATATTATAATGAATATTGCCTACTTAATAGTATGTAAGGAATTTTATTTAGCAATAAAATCATTCGTGAAAACAGTATAATTCAAGGGCTCTGGGGTGTAAATTTAAAAAAAAAAATGCTCTTATATTAATTGCAAAGTTTAAAAATCTTTGAAAATATTGTAGTTGTATGAAATGCAAGGGGGAAAGTGCAGAATCACCCACTGCTCCGCGCCTTTTTCAAAATTGCCAACTTGAAAGTGACAAGTCAAAGAATTGCACTAGCTCGGTATCCATGTACACATCGACTTATCTTCACTTAAAAAAAAAATAATAAAAAAAAGAAAAAGAAAAAAAATAAGAGCATTGCACAAACTTGGCATTGCGTACTCCTTTGACTTTGTCCATGTACACATCGATACGCGCCATATAAGTGGGCAATTCTGCACTTTATCCAATATAAGTGTACGAAGCTTGTTTACCGTTTTATTAAATGGTAGGACTGGATTATTCTATCGTGTTAATTTAAAATAAAAAGTTTATTATACTTATTTAAAATAAAGTTTAATTGTTAATGTAAATTATATATAAATAATTTAATAATATTAATTTACAATTATAAATAACTAATTATTGTTATTTTAATAGAAAATAGTAAATATAAGCAACGTACATGCAAGAATACATTGTGACGTCACAAGCTTCGTTCCACCCATTTATTGATATCACTTAGCTCTGCCTTCGCAATTTTGTTTATGCAGTGTATTCTGGGCTTTTACCGAAATTAATAATAAAATTTGAGATAACAAATTTAGGTTTAATCCTAGTATCCGGTGCACACAGGATTTGGGTACTTTTGGCGACTATATGATGAGCAGTAAAAGCGGACATATACGATGAGTAGTTAACCGCTCATTCAAAGAAAATATACAGTTAAACATAGTATATACTATGTATATAATATATATACTATATGTGTATATACATATATTATGTATGTATAGTATATATAGACGTTCTTTGGATCATTTTTGGTGTTGGCAATAATTTTCAAAGTCACGCCAAGGCTGCACCGTATACTAGGATTTTACCCAAATTTACACACTAATACGATTGTATTATCAAATTAATTTCGCCATAAATGTATATTTCGTGTGGCGTATAGCTCTAAGGAACTCTGGGAGTTATAGCACTGTTTATTATTTTAATAGGTAGTCTGTGTTCATTCGCACACTTAATGCAACAATGTGCAGAATTCTAATATTCATTGAACGGTTCGATATAATTTAATTCTGCTTTTATTGTTTCTCGTTGTAATAATTACCTAATTGCAGCAATATGGGATATTGAATATGACTAAACGAAGAGTATATGTTGAAAGACTTCAGTAAAACTATTAAAATTTTTTTCCTTGTAAAATGTTAACAAACCATGCTACATTATGAAATGCCTAATGTTCTACACCTAAGGATACACCATCAACAATCTGTTGGTGCCTTTTGATGATGGAATATATTTTCAATATTAGCAAATGGGTTAAATAGTTTATCTTTTCCCTTTATTTTTTCTCAATTTATTTATTTATTATTTTTGGCAGACACTATTTGGCAATGGAGTTCAAAACTGTATTAAACAGACTATTATTCGAAGCAGTTTTATCTAGTGGCCGCAGGCCATAGAAATGGGTTTGGCCGTAGAAATTGGTACCTGGGCATATCCCAAACGCTCTATAAATAAAATTCGAATCAGTGCTTATTGTATGTTTTCGATAATAACTCATTCTGTCTTATGATATAATACCATAGAGACTGGTTAGAAATGTCCCGTGATGGCCATTCTAACCTCCATGAGTGAAGAGAATAGAATTTAGTTGTAAGTACAAGAAATTAGTACCAGTTTTTAGCAGACTTTGGGAAGGAGCAGAGGGAGACTTTCTCAAAAACCAGACTCTTGAAAATAATGGAAAATTTTTTATTCACTGTTTCTGGAAAGTATATTTTCAGAAATTGCAATATATTCTCCAATTTCTGGAAATATGTTATTTAGTCCATTTTTTATTTGTATGTATATAATTCCTACAAATATGTAGTTTTTTCCTGATCTTGCTGAAATTTTCCACATTTGGTCTTCTAAAGAAGAACATTAGTATCTACAAAACATATTGAAAAATTACCTCATGGGGTTCACATGCAATTCGTTTATTTTAGAATGTGGCGATGAAGTTACCGTTGTTGCACTATCAGTTCTTACTATTGTCCTTAGATGGCGCCATGTTTGTTTACTCTTTAGAACAGTGTAGAACCTTAAAGTTGAATTTAAGCGGGTTTTCTATCGGTATTTTGCGGATATTTAGAAAACGGCCCTGAAGGATAGTGATTTTCCGATAGTGATTCATCAATTGCGGATTTTTCCGGATAACTGAATATATATTTCTAGAACTTTCATGCTGTTGTTTTGTGATCCTATCTGCAGAAATTGCAGGATCTGAAGTCGGTTGGTCGTATTTTTCGATATATTGACCGTTATGAAATAGTACCGAAAACCGCACAGATTATTTAAAACTGAAACATATATACACGATTTTACATTGTAGAAAAATAAAATCGACAAACACTTAAAAGTTACCATTAAATTTAGTTTCGTAGTGTGATGGCATATAATTTTGAATGTCTGCCTGCTTACTAGACTGACGTCAGAGTTTTAAAAAATTCTTTGTGGGCATAATGAATCTGAATACCATCATGCATTGACAAAGATGAACACTGATCAGCAAATCTTATGAAAGTCTACAATTCTTCGTATGAGCTTCCTTCCACTTAACTCTTTATTCAGCGTGTCGTTTTCACCTTCATGCTCCCCTTCTTCATCGTTATCTCTCTCCTTTCCCAGTGCATGTCTAACTATTTCGTATTCATCTTGAGAAAAGGTAATTGCCTACATCTGTCTAAACTTAGACTTTCCTTTCACAAACACTAATTTTGTCCAAGCATGTAACTAAATCCAATGCGTTGGTCATGGGAGAAAGATTTGTTTTAGAGCCAAGAGAATCTTCGGGTTAGAGTAGATTGACGGGTGCCACTTGTATGTTTTGTATGATTGACTTGTATGATTGACGGGTGCCACTTGTTGTTTCATTTATGGTAACCTGTGTAGTTGAATGTTATGGAAACCTTATTATGACGTAATCGGTTGCATGATTGCGGAAAATTTTGAATTATGAGAAAAGATTTGTAAGGGCTTCTGGTGTGTGTTGGTTAGGAAGTTGCTTGCTTTGTGGTTTAGACGGTAAATGGCTGAATGTGGTAAGATTAATTTGAAGTTTCTGTACGATTTGGAGCGAAAGAGAAAAAGAGCATTAATTGAGAGATGTGTAAATGAAGGTTTACTTATAAGCAATTATAAGTATTCTGTTTTTAGGAAGGAAATGCGCATGGTCAAACGTCGGAGGTTACCGGCACTACGAAGCATATTTTTGACTCTTATTTTTGTGAATTTATGTGGCGTCGCCAGTAAACAGATTCTAGTTCAGATAATTTTAGGACGTTTCTGGTTGCTGCTGAGGAATTTTGTTTGACTGAAGAAAAGGCAATTTCTAAATGAGGCAAGTGGATATTTCCTTTGTGTAGCGCTAAGATGAATTTCCTTTTTTATGTTATTTGATTGCTTAATTTAAAATAAAGTTTATTGAGATTATATGTTTTTTGTTGCCTGCTCCTTTTACTTTTTAAATGAATATGGATCGATGTGTACATGGACAAAGTCAAGGGAGTGTGCAGTGCCAAGTTTGTGCAATTCTATGATGTTTTTAAGTGAAAATAGGTCGATGTGTACATGGATACCGAGTTGGTGCAATTCTTTGAGTTGTTATTTTGTCTTTGTGTAGTGGCAATTTTTGGCTCAAATATCGCGTAAATATATACACAAAGCCGAAATAACAACTCAAAAAATTGCACAAACTCGCCATGTACTGCTACAAATCGCCAATTTTCGCCAAGGGGCAACCGTTAATATATTTTTACTAATCTTCGCCAGTCAACTCATCCTCTACGAACACGATCCTAAGTCGTAACTTATACCAGTAACCATGTAAAGCAATGTCCTTTACAACTTTTCAGACAAGATCCAAAGTAAATCTGGGGTATTTAATGTTCTGTCCATGCCGTCGAAATTCGCAGATC